GCAGTTTACAGATGAAGAGATGAGGCCAGTGGGGAGGAGAGGAGGAGGAGGGCTGGCACATGGATTAAGAGGCAACTGGGCTGTCTTGTGCATGCCACTCTGAGGGAAAAGACACCCACAGCATCAGAAGCCAGTAGAGGAGTAAAGGGAAAAGGGGGAACCACTATCGTCGCCACACTTCTGAACAGCTGTGGAGGTAGAGTGACGGGATGGGTGGGGGATGTCAACCCCCCCTTCTCCCCCTTTCAGCTCCTGAGGGGAAAGAGGTCATGGGATGACAAAAAGCGACCCCTGGAGGCTTCAGAAACAGCATCTGCGTCAGGCCTTCCCCTCAGCACTGACACATCTGTGGAAAATGAAGGAGGGATGAAAACTGGGAGTGGGGGGCATCTGAGATAGCTGTCAGAGAATGAGATTGATATTTGCTTTATGGACTGTATTTATTGCTACACAAAATGGACTGTGCACACACACACACAGGTTAGAGAACCGTACATTTTAAGTCACCTATTGTGATGCAACACATAGAAGGTGCCTGCACAAGCCTTACATGTAAATAAGGTTTCAGCTACACAGTTACTAGCCTGGTGAAGAAGCACACACCTCCATTATTGCGAGCAGTAAGAAACAACAGCTTGAGCAGAGACAGCCCCCATTGCTGAATTATTTGTGGTCACGTACGACACATCACTGCTTTGTTCCTGCATTGGTATTTCCTGCCAAATGGATATTTGGTTCACAATGAGAATGGCCAGCTTCATCAACACTACAATGGAGCATCCTGACACCAAGGTTTTCACACCTGCCCAGATGCCCTCCTTTGAGTAAGGTTTTAGATTACAATATTGGCCACTCCTTATAGGTAACCACCACTCCTATAGGCAACCAATAGGATTGTTTTTGGGACGGACTAACAGGTAGGTGGGTCAAGAGGTTGGCACAGCCACAACCCATCTCTTGAACCCCCTATAAAAGGAAAGGACCATTCACCTGACCCTTCCTAGTTAGCATCCCCCGCAACAACCCATCTACTTTTTACTCCTCTTAAGTCCCACTTGCTATCCCCAAACCCTTGCCTCTACTTTGATCTCTTGATCTGCAGTCAAGAGACCCACACGTTCTGGCTGGTTCTGGTCGTGTGTGAACTCCCTTTAGTTTCCATTTCTTCCCATCCATTCTTCATTGGAACAACCGAACTGCAAGACAGATAAGTATTGCCCATCATCACGCCCCCACCTGCCAATGCAACTGTACTTATTTTGATACTGTAATTCTAAGGAACTTGATTGAATGTGTGAGTGCATCAGTATTGTTTGTATGAGATTTATTCTTTAAGTAAAAGACATTTATTTTAATAACAACAGCCTCATTATCCTTCTCTGGTAACCCTTGGTGGGAACAGGACCTTGGTATAAACTGGCAAGAACCCATTTATAAATTGCCAATTGCTGTAAATAAAGTAATTCGGCTAACATAGCCAGGTTCAGACTCCCCCCTTCTCCTGAGCCAGGACCCTGTCATCTGGGTCACCTGGGGCTGGTCACTCAGCCTGGCCCATCTTACAGGGTTGTTGTTGATGGTGGGGATGGGTCGGTGGAGGGGGGGGTTTGGTGTACCTCCTCAAGATCCTCAAAGGTAGGACAGGGGAAGACAAGAAACAAAGAGCAAGAGACAAATCATATCTGGGGCTCGGTGTATGGGGGGGGGGTTTGTCGGAAAACTACCTTAGTTATTTACTTGGCTCATCTCCTAAAAGTTCTATATATACAAAAAGTAACTAATTTGTATGGAAATGTAAGATACACCCCCTTTTATCGTATCCCTTGGGAAAAACCTTAGTCTTGTGTATGATTAAATACATTTATTGGAGCTTTTGTGGGTTCCCCAGTAAATCAATTGCTTTCATTGCTAGGGATCATTGCTTTTGTTTTTATTTCAAGTAAAAAATAATATTGTTAATTAGGTTTGCCTGTGTTCTTTATAAAGTTTATATCTCCGGTACCTGTCATTACATTTCATTGCAGACATGGCCCAGCCTGACAAAGTGACATGTCAGGTCTGGTCCTCATAACAAATGAGTTTAACACCTCTGACCTAGACTGTGTCGGTTTCGTCAAGAGCTGTATAGTACTTTCGAAGTAACTACAAGTGACAAACAAGAAACCCAAATGGAGAGAAGTAAAATAGCACACACCTAACACTTAAAATCGAACCTTTATTACTTTGGAATAAATGTTACATTAGATTAGTATCTCTTTTAATATTAAGTTGAATGCCAAATATTTCAAGGACTCTATTATAACAGTCAAATATGAATTAAAATCTTTCAAAACATTTGGTTTCCCACACTAGTTGTGATAAGAGGCAGTAATTTTGTTAACGTTTCCCCAACTACCCACTACTTGCCCAGAGCCATTACAAAGAGGGAAACCAGGTCTGCCCAGCAGTTACTCAACAGGAAACTGTAGCCAATCACAACTCCCTTATAAGTGCACCAGTACAATGTACACTATAAAAATACATGTTTACTGCAATCATCTCTCCATCTTAAAATGTAATATGTGAAACAGCCCTGAGGAGACAACAAATGCTATAGATCTCTTGATCTTTGATGGAGCTAATGGTAAAGGACCCTTTTAAAACCCCATTCCTAAATTTATTTACTTGAAAGCAAGTTCAGTTGATTTCAAAAGGGACTTCAAAAGACACTTTCAAAACTTATTTCCACATGTGTGTGCTTAAGATCACAGTTTAAGTTAAATTAGAACCCACAGCTTCTTAATTTTTCATTTTCAAGTATTAACATAAACATTTATATTTACACTTGCATACAATGATTTTTTCCTCAATTGTACACCCATCCTGTTTACAAGGAACCACTGTTACTACAGTATATTTAAATGTAGCCTATAAAAATATCTACTATACATAAAATATTTAGCCACAAAATTTTACAGCACATTGAAAAACATGAAGAATAGGAAGTAAGGAAAACAAAATACTTCTTTCTTGTTAAGTAAAGGTTACAGGAACATTTTATAGACATCAATGAACTGCCTTTTGACTTACAGGAGAGAATTTGTGTGTTCTGTAAGAACCAAAGTTATCATACATGGTTCAAAGGTTATTCCCACACAATTTTCTTCTAGCAAAACTTTTGATTTTCCCACAATCTCCCTAACTAGCAAACTTTTTAATGCTCTGTGTTCCACATACAGAGAAACCGGGACTAGTCTGTTGACAGGACTCATCTGTGAATTAATTCAGAAAACTATTACAGAGTGTCACAAACCCTCAACTTAATTGTGTCATTTTGCTGCATTTCAACAGCAGTGCCTTTCGAATCTCATCTCTTCCACAAAGTGGAAACTACCTGAATAAATACACAACCACATAGATGCATATGATCTTATTGAATGGAATACAGATAAAGCACTTTTGACAGGTGTTTGGTTTATAAGCCATTGATAGTTTAACAACATATTCTTTATTTTTCTGAACTACAGCTCACCTTATGGCTTATCTCCAGAGCACTGAATATATTGCTAGAACTAGCTTATTGAAAAAATTCACAACACAGCTGCAGATTATGTTATAGCACCCAGCTCCATAGAAACGAAAACAAATTTACCCCCTCCACCTTGCAAAGCTACCCTGGTACATTGCACAGGACTTAACACTATTAACAACAACAGAGAGCTGGAAAGGTTCAATAAAGTACCCCTACAAGGATCAAGACAGCAAACATTCCAATTGCAGAAGACAAAAGCTTTCTTCATCCCAAGAGCTGATATCTAATCTGTTTCTTGCTGTGTTCTGTGATTTAAAGAATTATATATACACTAGACAATATCCTTGAGTAACAAGTTCAATAGACTAACATGCAGAAACTATTCTTTCAGGAATGTTTCCTGCACAATATCCACTCATGGATTGTGTAGGACAAATACATGTCACATAATTCACACACAAGACTTGATTCTTTCAGTGCAGAAAGATGTTTGAAAATCCTCCTGGAGGACTCCATTTCTCCCTCGTGCTTCATTTCCCTTTGGTCTCCAAAAATAAGTAATGCAGCAAGGCTCAGAGAAAATGTGAAGAACTAAAGAATACCATATCCATACTCTCCTTTTTTATGAGACTGCACAGCATTTCCCATAGGAAAGCACAAATCTTGCCCTCTTCTGACAAGAGCCAGGCATGAATAAAACTGGTATACTAAAGAATCCCTTTCATCCTACACATCCAATGTACTTTAATTTTCAAACAACCTCCATGCCACATGTTAGAGCTAATCCACAATCAAAGGTAATCAGGTAATCAACTTCGGATGAAGAAACTTTAAAAGAAAAAGAAAAAAACCACAATGCCAATAACTCACATGGACCTCTTAACAGGCTTATCATTTGTTGTATGTCCTGCTTTATAAATGTTTTATCACTCTCTCGGAAATTTACATCAAATTCCCTTATTATGTGTTATATGTAATTATGAACCATATACTCTCTGTCTATATGCACAACTGGAACCTGAGTTGGGGAGGGGCTCTGTATACATTCTTACCAGCAATGTTTTTGTGGCTTTTCAAAGAACATGCTGACGGCCTACCAAACATGGTTTTAAAAAAATAATCCAATGAGTGAGAGGGGTTGGAACATTTATAAAAGGTAGGCGTGGAGTGGTAAAAACCTGCCCAGGCTTTCCATGAGACACTGTACAGTAACAAGTGGAGCTTTTAATGCATGAAAATGCAAAAGTTTAAAACAAGGAAGTTTGGAGCTAGGTGGCCTCTCACAGTAAGAACAGCTTCTAAAAATATTCTAGAATACTGACATTTAAAAGCTAAGACAGAACATTAAAAGTGACAACAGCATTTTATAACCTTCTCGACATCCACAGATAAAGGAAAAACAGAGTAAAAACAACACATATTAATTTAAAAGCAATTGCATTCTCCATCCCATAAATACTTCGTAGATTTCAATCTCTAACGCCAAGCCCACCTCTAACACCATGGAGAAGAAAACACATTCAAAGAGAGGAGTGCATGGATTTCTATGTCGTCGCTTGGCTTCCTTGTAGGCTGTTTGTTCTCATGTCCCTGAGTTGTTTCCTTAACACTGCTTCCGCAGTTTGGGACGGAGTTGTAGGTCAGGGGAGTTACAAATGATTAGGTACTGTCTTCAAGGCTTCCTCTCGTGAGCGGTTAATACATACATTCTGAAAGGCAAACAAAACATTTCAGTGAGCTGAACCGTGACCTCTCCATATTAAAAAAAAACTATACTCAAGCATCAACCTGACCATGAAGGTTTCTGCAATCAGTATTCATTCAATGCTAGATAATGAAATAGTTATGAAAAACTAAAGACTACAATCCTTTGCACACTTTCCTGGGAGTAAGTTCCTCTGACATCGGTGGTGCTTATCTTGCCAAGAAAACATGAGCAGGACTGGGCTGAACTAAAGGATCAGCTTTGTTCTGTGCATTTGTTGCAATGCTGGTCTGCAATATATCCCTTCATCGTGGCTACACTTCTTAATTGTGCCCTGGACATCAGATACATTATGCTGTAAACCAGTTTATCCGAGATTACAACAATCTCTTGGCTTGGGGCCCATGAAACTGCACTGAGATAGCCCAAGGCTGAAGACCAATTTTTAAAGCTAATTTGGAAGTACAAACATGAGCCAAGTAGTACATACAAAGCATTCTGTCGGCTATCCAAACCACCAAGATAAATGGCAAAGGTTTCCATTTCTACCAGGTAAACGTAATACAAGCAAGGGAGCTGCAAGAAACTCACAGAGGAAGGGTGATCCCAGTAGTAGCTACACTCAGCTGCTGCCCTGTTCACTGGCTCACAGGTCTGCCGCCTTCCCCCATCTGCCTGCCTGTTGTTGTAGCTGCTGTGCCTGCCCACCTCAGCAGTGTTATGAGACAGCAGCAGCTCCCAAGCCTCCTCCTCTTCTCCATCCCACCCACCTGCAGTGGCGCCTTGACAGCAGAGGGAGGGGAGGCAATGGTTGCTCTGGGGGAATCCCATCCTTCCCCTTCCCTGCATTACATGGTGGCAGAAGCTCAGGCTCCTGCACTTCTCCTGCCCCAGAGACCTGCAAGACTTTCAAAGGGAGAAGGAATCTCACTTGGCCAGCCCTCCCCTAACCACTCAGGAGAATGTGGAGGGGCTGGCAGCAGCTGCCACTCTCTGCCCAGCCCTCCCCCGCCCACCTGCAGCCCCATCAACTTTTCTTCCTACATAATCCAGGCTGCGAATTAGCTCTCCTCCAGACATGCCCACCGAACCCCCCTTCATTAAAAAGGTGGGGTTTTTTCAGATTTTTCTGCCAACCTGGGGATTCATAAATTTGCAGAAATATCTGTTTTCTCAGTACACAGTATCAACCCACAGATTTAAGTATCTGCAGATGGAGCCATGGGAGAATTAGACATAATGATGGGCACCACTAAAGGAGAAGTGGGGAGGGAGGGAGGAGACAGAGACCTAAGAACACTCCTGGGACAAAAGATTGAATTTATATTTCCTACACATTTCATATCTTTTTCCTTTACACCAAGTGCTCTTTGTCAAGCACAAAACTATGAGGAACTGCTGCTTCTCATCACAAAATAAGGTACGGCATGATCCCACTTGGGACATCTACCTAGCTAGTCATGCCATAAACACAGTTGTAAACCTCTAACAAAAGTGTTTCAGAATATGATGCATTCCCTCAGAAAGACAGGATGAATCACAGGCCCATGCAACACATTTAAGTTCTTAGACATGTACATTTTCAGACTTTTATTCTTGCCAAAGGCAAACTATGTTCTGATGAGTTTTGTGGACTTACTACTTTGATAAAATATGCACACAAGCGTATGATGCGTAATTTCTGCTTATCTATATTTACAGCCTTCTACCTGTCAGCATAAGCTATTCATCAGCTTTAAAAAAAAAAGTTTGTTTTTTAAACAAAAGAATTACATTTCAATAGTGTAGCAAGTTTTTCCCACCCATTATGGGAACTCCGTATGGTTTTGATTTGCCACTGCCTGCCTCTGCATAGTGACCCTGGGCTTCCTTGGTGGTCTCCCATCCAAATACTGGACCAGGGGCGGCCCTGCTTAGCTTCTGAGATCTGATGAGATTCAGCTAGCCTGGTCAGGGAAATGTACCAGTACTTTTACAGAATTAAGATCATTTATTAAAATCAAGCATTAACCATAGTGCCTGTTGGACAATATGACATCAGAACGTGCCTCCACCAGGCCATAGGGCCCTGATCTGCAAAAGCAGAGGACCACAAGATGGGTGGCAGAAGGCTAGATCTCCACCACCACTACCCCAAGACAACAGCTGCAGCTACCATTTCCCTTTATACATCACTCAAGCATCTGGATTGGGGGAAGAAGAAGTGAGCAGAATTCCCTAGAGGGGGCAAGACTTGACTCTGGCATCATCAGGGGCTGTTCACTATGCTAAAAGAAAACACAAAGGATGCCATGTGCTATGTGTCCTAGGACCAATCAATGCCACCCTACATGACTGCTGTAAGATGAGGTTTCAGCTCCACAGGCTGTAAGAACGACATGGTCCAAATGGCAGCAATACCACTCAAGTAATTTTCCTCTTGCATTCAAACCAAAGTTATCTGAAATGTATGCCTCTTACATACTTCCCACAACAAATGCACACACTTAACTGAAACTACTCTTGGAATGTCTGAAACTGTTCCATGTGCAACACGGGGTAATCAGCTTTGGATTCCACAATTTGAACATTTTCATCTTTAAGTCAAATTGTTCAGAAATGTATCCCAAACTAATCTACCTAGCTCACCAAATACCAATCAATGAACTAAACCTAGTTAGATTTCAAAAGACTGAACCACCAATCCTCTATATCAGAAATTACAAGAGGCACTTTATATGGTATCATACAAACACTTTTCTGCATACATAGGGTCCTGGCAAGCCTTCCAATTTATGAGCTGTTTTTCATGGGCATAACAGCTAAAAAGGAAAGTTATGTTACCTCCCAGTGCTGACATGCTAGAGTGGGAGGGAAAAAAGGCACTGGGAAAAGGGACCCCCAGGGGAGGGAGGGAGGGAGGGAGGGAGGGAGGAGTCAGCCCACCCTTCTGCTAGCCTTGAGCACAGCATGGGCAGGCTGGGTGCTGTGTTATGTGCAGTTTTGACAGGCCAAGCACTGCCCTTCTTACCACTGGGCTGGCCCAGCTCAGGACAGAAAAGAGAAAAGGGAAAAAAACTGAACCTAAAACCTAGAATTCAGAACCTAAAAAGGTTAGTCAAGAATAGAAGAGGGCCAACTCTAAGAATCTAATTATGAAACATACAAAAATATACATGTATTTATTCAACACAAATTAAAATAACAAACAAGCCCTTGTATGTTTTTATATCTGTATATGAGGTATGAATGGGCCCTTGTTTGTTATTTTAATTTGTGTTGAATAAATACATGTATATTTTTGTATGTTTCATAATTAGATTTTTTAGAGTTGGCCCTCTTCTATTCTTGACCAGCTCAGGACAGGCCATCAGGCCCCAGGAAAAGTCCTGGTGGCCATAATGGCCAATCTGGCCATGTTTGAACATACTGCTATACAGCAGTCTACTGACCCAAAATTAAATACTTCACAGCAAAACAAAAAGCAGCAGAAAGAATTTAGCAGGGTTTAGGGCACACAACCAAAAAGCCTCCATACCACAAAAAAAAAGAAGAAGAAGAAGCCTGTATTCTAACAAGCAGTCAATGAAAACATGAAGTTGCCTCATAGCAAACCAGATCATCAGTCCATCAAGGTCCGTTGTCTATTCAGACTGGCGGCAGCTCTCCCAAGGTCTCAGGGTTGGGTCTCTTCACATGCAACCCAATCCTTTAAAAAAAAAGTGGAGACTCTGGGGATTGAACCTGGGACCTTCTCCATGCCAGGCAGATGCCCTAGCCATGGCACCTCACCACACACCACTGAGACACAACAGTGGAGGAAAGTGTGGTAATGTTCAACTGCCACCACCATAAAATAAGTATATGTAAAAGAAGAGAGCATATGACAACTGTCTTTCCAGATCTATCTAGTTCAGCATTTTGTCCTCTCCAAGAGTCAACCAGGTATCTCCAGGGCCCTCATGAACAGGGCAACATAGCAACACCAGTGCATATCCACACAACCTGGTAATCAAAGGTATACATAGCAGCACTGGCTGACAGACACTAATAAACAGTTCTAAGGGCTGTGAGAGTTGGACCATAAAGAAGGCCAGGTGCCAAAGAATAGATGCCTTCGGATTATGGTGCTGGAGAAGACTCGAGAGAGTCCCTTGGACTGCAAGGAGATCGTATCAGTCAATCCTAAAAGAAATCAACCCTGACTCTTCCCTGGAAGGCCAGATACTGAAGCTGAAGCTCAAATACTTTGGCCACCAAATGAGAAGGGAGCACTCACCGGAGAAGACCCTGATGCTGCAAAGATTGAAGGTAAAAGAAGGGGATGGCAAAGGATGAGATGGTTAGACAGTGTTATCAATACAACAAACATGAAATTAAGCAAACTCCAGAGGACAGCAGAAGACAGGAGGGCCTGGCGTGATGTAGTCCATGGGGTCGCAAATAGTCAGACTCAACTGTGTGACTGAACAATAACAAGGGACTTTCACTGAAGTAGGTTTTTAGTTACAGACAAATTCGCTTCAAAGACATGGTCTGCCCATGAATCAGAACAAATTGTGAGTTCAGTGGTAAAATTACCTCTATATGTAGGATGCTGTTTTGAATGCTCAATACACTTAAAAAAATAAACTCACTGTAAGTAGAAAATTAGCACATTTTTTAAATGGGGGAGTATTACAAAACAGCATCTTCTACATGAAATCTGAAGTACTACAGCATATTCAATCACATCCAGCATATTCAATCACATCCAGTTTCTACCACTTAATTCTGCTGCCCATGTGCACTGGTCAAACATCAACCTGTCCAAGCAACAGTCATTAGCGTCCCATGCAGAAAGCCATAGCAGCTAAATGATTGAGTTGACAGAGTGAACTGTGCCATTATTATCCTTGAAGTGATTTGAATAGTTTCCCCCGCCTAATGTCTTGGGATGCTTCACTTTGACCCAGTCTTTATGGCTGTCATCCACTTCACTGACCTCCAAAGGAAATAAGTGTATTTCTGAAGGAAGATATGCGG